CAGTCCTCCTCCTCCTCTCTGCAAAACCCACTTCCTTCTAGCACTGATGTTGTTTCATAGTTTGGTAATGAAACATCTGCAAGAAAACAACGAAGCGCAGGACACCTCATTTCAACCGAGCTATATTCTCCTTTGCTGATTCTGTTCTATTCTTGGGGATTCTTGGGAGTTAATTGGATAAGTCAGTTTGCATTTAGCCAGGACACCGATGTGTTGGGTGAAGAAAGCCAACATGGTCCCTGTTTATCTTGGTTTGTTTTTCCTTCATTATAATCCCGAGACCCTTAATCATCCCTCCCATTTTATTTTAACCGTTTCAAAATCTCTAGGGATGACAAGTAAAAGATGTTTTCCCTGTTGAACCCATATCTTTTGTTGTATTTTCTGGCTATTTGGAAGTGTTTTAGCAGAAGATCCGGGATACGGTCAGTTTTAAACTATAAAAATGTTTATAAAGTTTAAACTTTTTAAGCTTCAATTTAAAACTTTTTAACTTTAAACTTTTTAAACTTTAATTTAAAAATCTTCACAGGGCCCATTTTTGTTTTGCTTTGGAAAGACTTTCCCCAATTCTGACTCTGAAGCCGGTATTATAAATAGGAGTACAAAAATTAAAAATAGTACAGTGGCAGAATTATTGGGCTACATAGTTGAATTGTAAGAATACAGGAAATGGCTGCATTTTAGGCTATTTGTTCAATTACCAGTGCTGTAGAATAAGATCGTCTTTCCTGCAAAAGACTTTGGCATGTATACTTGGTTAAATGAAAAATGTACACATTTTTTTAATTTTTTTTAAAAAATGAATTAGCCTTTGGTGGTGACTCTTTGGCAGAAGATCTTTCCCAATTGCTCCTACTGAATCTTTTAACTGGATATGCCGAAGGCTAGGAAAGTGTGAGAATTTTATTGTTCGTTTTTCTACAGGAAAAGTGCTGTCACCTTCCATAAAAAGGGAGGGATGCTGAGATGGAGGAGAAAGGAGAACGCAGGATCAATTTATCTCTCCAGACAGAAGGGTGCATGAAATGTTCGCTTTAAAGTGACGGCTGCCGTTTCTTCCTTTTGACAAAATCTGGTTGTGTTTAGTGTAGAATAACCTCCACTCAAACACATTCAGGAACATTTACAATCGGAGCAGACAGTTAAAAAAAGATGAATCAGAAAGCAGTGGGGGTACTAGCATTCTGAAGTCAAAACGCATTAGATCTCCATTTCAAATTTAATTCTAAAAAACAGGCCTGACTTTTCCAGACAGACAGGATGGAAATGTATTCTCCCCCCCCCCCCAAGGAAAGAGCTAAGAATACAGCAAGGAAGGTGATTTTCAACCTCTCCTGATCCTTTTGCATTGCCATTTTTAATTCTTCCTCCTCAAAAAAATCAGTCCAGTTGCTTTAAAAAAAAAAAACAAAAAACTTTTGATACAACTATGACTTGGATGACTGTGAACCTTCATAGACACTAAAACTGCCATCTTCAAATGCATATCCATCTCTGGATAATTACGATTACAACTCTTGTCAGATTCATCTTTAGCATATTTAACCATCCTAATTAGGTTTCCTATTATATTTTCCATTTTCTTCCGGACGGGTAAAATCAGCTTAGTTAATAACTCAGTGAATGAGTTTGATCAGTAATTGTTGAGATTTTGTGAGGCTCCAATTTAACATTTACTCACTTCCTGAAAAGCCTTCAGAACGTCTGAAGAGTAAATACCGATATTCTCCTAATTATCCACCATTTCTCTGATCTTCTCAACTAAACAGGCAGATTCTTGCCTAGGAAAGCTCATGCTAGAATACACAAAATATGTTTTTTTTTAATTTTCTGGATGTGATTTCCTACACAAGCGCAATTGAGCTGCGGCGACATTTGTGTCGGGATATTCAGGATAGCCGTGCCCAAGTTAGGAAAAAAAATGGAGCTTCTTTGTTTAGAAGCAACCTATTCTTCATCCATTCTTGAGAATCAAGAAGTTTTAAGATTTATTTACATTTTCTCACTTCTTGCAAAGCCTGCAGAACTTCTGGACAGTCACTTGTCTGAGATGGTATAGGTTCTCCTGCTTCAATGGGGGGGCTGGACTAGAAGACCTCCAAGGCCCCTTCCAGCTCTATTCCATTCTGTTCTATTCTAAAAATGAAGGCTAAAATGCCCATATTCTCCTGTCAACCCATCTGGGTTCATAAAGAGTGAAATCATGAACTGACTCCCCTTTTCTGCGCAAAATTTAGAATCCCTGCCGTCCTCAAAGGGGTAAACTAGGTCTCTTAAGAACCCAGCAGCGTCTGCACATTAATCTTAGTTAGTTTAAGCAGTGAACTCCAGGCATTTCGTTGGCTTAGTGCTCAGTGGCTTGTGTGTACCCAGACAATGGGTAATTCAGCAATCAAGCATGTCGTACGAACACAGCCATGTTTGCCAACTTCCAGAGGGATAACTGTGGTCTGTTGAGGCAAACACAATAGACAGTGGAGGCTTTGTTCACACAAGACAATTATCCAGGCAGAGCCGAACTGCAGTTGGATCCCATCGCCCAACTTGAGGGGGATTGAATGACACTCTGAACCCTCAAGTAAAGTTCAGAGGCTGCAATGAGGTTTGTTCGTCCTTGGCTATGTGGGACCCCGTTTGCAGCGCCTGACAAACTAACCTTGGTTTTCTGCGAATACACAACTTACAATCACTTGTTTAGCGACCAAAGTTACAACGGCACTAAAAAAAAGGGGGTGGACTTACAGCAAGCCCTCACATTTACGAGCCCTGCAGTATCCCCAATCACATGATCAATACTTGAGCGCTCGGCAACTGACGTGTATTTATGACGGTTGAACATTTATGACGGGGGTCACATGATCACCACTGGCAAGCTTCCCAGCTGGCTTCCAGCAGTCAATGAAGTCAGTTTCGCTTAATGACCAGGTGACTCACTTAACAACCGTGGCCAAAAGGTCATAAAATCAGGTGCAACTCACTTAAGGACTGCCCTGCTTAGCGACGGAAATTCTGATCCTGTCGTGGTCCTAAGTAGAGGACTATCTGTACCCTCCACGTGCAACGATAGTCCCAAACCTTGTGGCTTAAGCAACGACCAGGGGATTCACTTAACGTCCAGGTCCAAAAGGTCATAAAATCAGGTGCAACTCACTTAAGGACTGCCCTGCTTAGCGACGGAAATTCTGATCCTGTCCTGGTCGTTAAGTCGAGGACTATCTGTACCCTCTGCGTTCAAGGGTACCCCCAAATCTTGTGGCTTAAGCCGCAGGCCCTGCGGAATGTGCCCCAAAACACCCCTTCGGCCTGATCCTGCACAACATTTCTCACTTCAGAGAAGCCCAGGTGCCGGCCTCTTTGCTCCTGCTCCGCTTTGCACGCTGCTGCGTTCCCACAACCAGGGCACCCGAGGCAATCCCAGCAGAAGCAGGACGCCAATTGCTCGCTGGCTGCAAAAGCAGGAAACAGGAAATCCCTCAGACAAGGCGAGTGAGTGTGCTCGCGTGTGCGCGCGTGCAAGAGGCGGAAAGGGAGCAAGCAGGATGCGCAGGGTTGTGCGCGGGATAGGGCGCAAGAGCGGAGGGGCAGAGGGGTTCCGACGATCCCTCCTCTCCGCTTTCTGTTTGCTTTTCCCCGCTTTTGCAACGGGCGGGCCAGCCCAGGACCCCCACCCCCACCCCACCTCCGCGGCCGTCTGCAAACTCGATCCTCTCCCTCCGTTCCCCCCCCCTGGAGTTAGGATCGCTCCCACGCGAGCAGACCCGCCCCAGCGTGGATCCGTATCGCCTCTCCGCCCCATCCCCCTTTTCTCAAACCAGCCCCACCGATCCGAAGGGAGAGATGCGAGGGGCCGCGCCGCGCAGCCCGATCCTAAGCGCGCCGCGCAGCAAAGGGGGGATTCCTTCCCCGGGGGTCTCTCGTTCGTTTTTAGCTTTAGTGGATCCGGGCCCCGCGAGGCTGGCAAAAGGCGCTCCTTTTCCCCACGCGAGAAAATCCCGGATCGGGTTCCCGACGGTCGTAGATTCCCCTCCGCAGCCAGGCCCTTTTTTCAGACCGGGAAAGGGCCAATGCAATTAACAGTTGCGCTCCCAAAGGCGAGGTGCACGCTAGTCACGCGTAGCACGTGTGAATGCATTCCCAAAGCACTTTCAGCGATCTGCCGAAGCGCGTTTAACTCCCGTCCGAGCGATGCCACCTTCGGCCAGTAACTTCAACCCGCCCCCTCCCCTTTCTCGATTCCCATAATAACACGTCCTCGAACGAACCCGAACAAACTCAGCCAAAGTTAAAAAAGTTTTTTTTAGCGCGTCGCACAACCTACACAAGCGGTCGGTGCGAACATGCCGACCGAAAAGTCTTGGGAAGTCCAGAAAAGTGGGCTCCCCGCTCTCTCTCTCTCCCCCCCCCCTCCACGCTTGAAAAGATCCCTTCTAAACTTCTAAACCCGCGGGACCCCGAAAGAAGTCGTTTCCCCCACCCCCACCCCACCGGAGAAAGGAGACCACGCCGAGATGCGCCTCCCGCCCTGCGCTCCGAGCGCGCGCCTCTCTGCCTCGCCCCGCCGCCGCCGCTGCTGCTGCCGCGCATGCGCGCCGCCCCTCCCCGCGGGCAGCCCTTCGGCGCGGCTCGCTCGGCCGCGTCCTGTACCTTTTCTTCCCCTTCCTTAATGGGAGGCGTGGGGAGGGGGGGAAGAAAGGCGGGTGGGCGGCGCCGCGCACGCGCAGCGGGGAGCGCTGGCTGGTTCGCTCGCTCCTGTGGCGCGCGGCGCCTCCGCCCCCTCGGCTCCCCTCAGAGGCTCCGAGACGCCTCAGCGGCGGCAGTGGCGACCGTTGGCCGGGCGGGCGGGCGGGCTCCTCCTCCTTCTCCCGCGCTCTCCGGCTACCTGTCTCGCCGCCAGCCGGCTCGTCCCGGGCGCGCAGGGAGCCGGCGGCGGCGGCGGCGGGAAGCGTTTGTTGGTCGCCGGCCGGTCGGCTGGCTGGCCGCGGCGCCTCCCGCGCACCATGCCGCGCGTCGTCCCGGACCAGCGGAGCAAGTTCGAGAACGAGGAGTTCTTCAGGAAGCTGAGCCGGGAGTGCGAGGTGAGGCGGCGGGGCGGAAGTGGGGCGGCGGCGGCGCTGCCTTCCCCGCGCCCATCATCCCCGGCCAGGCTTTTCCTCCGGGTCCGCGGGAGCCCCCTGGGTTCGGAGTCCCCATCATCCCCAGCCAGCCTTCCAGATCCCTCTGGTTTCTGGGTTTGGGAGTCCCATCATCCCCAGCCAGCTTCCCTTCTGTGGTCCTTCTGTCTCTGTCGCCGTCGTGGAGTTCGGAATCCCCATCATCCCCGGCCAGCCTTCCCCCTGTGTGCCGGATCCTACTTCCCTCCAGATTCTGGGTTCGGAGTCCCCATCATCCCCAGCCAGCTTTCTCTCTGAGCGCCGCCGGATCCCTCTTCCCTCCGGTTTCTGGGCTTGGGAGTCCCATCATCCCCAGCCAGCTTCCCTTCTGTGGTCCTTCTGTCTCTGTCCCCGTCGTGGAGTTCGGAATCCCCATCATCCGCGGCCAGCCTTCCCCCTGTGTGCCGGATCCCACTTCCCTCCAGATTCTGGGTTCGGGATCCCCATCATCCCCAGCTAGCCTTGGGTGATGGTTCGTTCCGTCTCTCCCCTAGTCGTTGGGTTTTCGTTCCCATCATCCCCAGCTAGCTTTCTCTAGCCCCGGACCCCACTTCCCCCAGTCCCTAAGTTTGGAATCCCATCATCCCCCGCCAGCCTTCCCTTTGTAACCCGGGACCACCCCCCTTTCGCTGGATTTGGAATCCCATCATCCCCAGCCAACCTTCCCTCTGTGGTCATTCATTGCACTCATCTCTGCTTGGAATCCCATCATCCCACGCCAGCCTTCCCTCTGCAGTCCCAGACCCCCACTTTGCTGGATTTGGAATCCCATCATCCCCGGCTCAACGTTCCCTCTGGCCATTCATTCCACCCGTCTCTGCTTCAATCGCTGGTTTGGAATCCCATCCTTCCCCGATTCGCAGAGCTACCAATGGATTTGGTTTGGATTCCCATCATCCCCAGCCAGCCTTCCTTCTTTGCCCCTGGATCCCACTTCCCTGATTCGGTTTTGACTTCTGTCTTTGCTAGCCAGTTTTTCTTCGACACACCAACTACTTCCCCCCTTGCAGGTTTTTGGTTTTTCATGCTCTCATCACGTCCAGCCAGATTTCCGGTGCTTCTCCTGGCCCCCAGCTTCTCCTTTCCCTCCCCAAACTGGTGCTCTCTAGACTCCCATTATCCTCAGCCAGGTATCTTTTCTTGCAGCCATCTCATCTTCCCCCCCCCTTGATGATTTGCAGACAAATAAGATCTTCATCACCATCATCCCCAGCCAGTCTTCCTCTTGTCTTCTCCTCCCTCCTCCCAAGTTGGCCCTCTCCTCTCCAGCTATGTTGGGCTTCTGCTCCCATCATTCCCAGCCCGTCTTCATTTTGTGATCTAAACATCTCCCCTTTCATCCCAAAGCAGTCTTCAGTTTTTAGCCCTGTAACCCAGCCAGCCTCAAGCTGTGGGGTTGGGGTTTGATTGGGATTGCACTCCCATCATCCACAGCTGCCAACAAGCTCTGCTCCTGGATACCTGCCTTGCCTTAGTCTTTCCCTAAACTGGCGCCATCCCGATTTGCAAAGCTACCACATTCGGGGGATGATCCATGTGCAGAGAGTGGCGGCAGGGGAATGTCCTGCCTTTGGAGGCACCCACGTCTGACTCCATGAGTTCCAGAGACTGGAAAAAAAACCCTTCTTTTCCCCCAAGGTTGATTTGGAAATAATCCTTCCTTCCCCAGGCAGGCAGCTGTCCAACTGAAGTTGTGTTCTCATCTGCAGGGTAAAGATGGAACTGAGTTTCAGCCCTCATCCTGTGTAAGGGCTATCAGTTTAGGTCCTTGTGGATCGAAGTCCGCTCCATCAGATAATAAAAGGGCTTGGTCTGTGAAGTGCAGAAGTGTGCTTTTTTTGTTGCTGAAAAAGAGCTAATAATGGCTACCCTTCTGGAAATGAACTAAGCCTTTGGTCTCCCTTTGCATTTTGCAGGGGCAAAAGGTGTGTGCAAGTGTCTACCTAGTTTTTTAAAAAGTATTTTTGTCCTACTTTTCTTCAGTTGAGGAAGCTTTGGGTGCTTTTGAATGAACAGGTTGCCATTCCGTGCCTGTGCAGGAAGAAAGCCCCCATCGACTCTCTCAGAAGCTACAGCCCGTCTCATTCATTGGTACTCCAGGGAATTGATGCCCTCCAGATGTGTGCTGCTTCAATTCCCATCATCCCCAATCAGTCTAGCCAATCCTGTGCAGCCTGCAAATGACAGCATTTGGTGCTGAAGTTAGGGAAGGTTTAAATTATAAACTGAAATAAAACCCATCGTGTATAAGATTTCAGCCCCGTTTCCAAGTATTTTTTACTTGGAAGTAACCCCACTCTCCTCCCTGCCCCCATGCTGGAGAATTCTTAAAGTTGCAGTTACATGATAGCATGAGCCTCAAGGGTAAAAAAAAATAAAGGGGATCCTTACTGAATTTAGGGATGTGAAGCTTCTTCCTGTTCCTGTTTTGTACATACAACTGATCTGCCCCGGTTCAGAAAGAAAACATTTACTTCTCTTCCCCTCCCCCATTCCATTAAAAAAAAAATCTGCATTGCTGTTGATTAGTTGGAAAGTTGAGGAATGGTCACCTTTGTCTTCTGTACTGATTACTTTTCATGGATAATGATGTTGAAAAAAAGATCTGCTTTACAGTCAGGTTGGTTATGATTCAGTATAATTAATGAGACAACAATTTTATAAGATGGTAACAGTACACTTCTACAAATGTTAACTTGAAAGCAAGCTCTGCTGTTTTCATTGAGTTTTACTCTATTCTAAATGGGTGTGCAATTGTAATTTCAATGAGTATGATTATAACAACGCACAATGGAAGAATGGCGTAAAATCCACCTTAATTCTCTTGATATTATATGTACTAGAGCTATGGTTGAGTGCAAGGATTAAGAGTTAAGTGCCCGTGTTTTGGTTGCGTTTCTGATATTAGCACAGGAAATTATGCTTTTGGAATCCTTTTCAAGGAATGGATAAGAATGATTCCTGGAGAAAGATAAAAAGGGATCCAGTGGTTGTGTCCTGGTATACATCTAACCACTTTTTAAATATAACTTTGGTGTATATTAAGTAAGACAAAACTTTGTAGTGTTAGCATGTTTCCTGCCTGTATATCGTCCAAACAGCTAACATTTATTCCAGATAAAAGCTCAGTTGAAGATGACCCTATATATAATCGGGGTAATCAGCACTAGTAAGCACCACATATTTCAGAAATTTTTATTCCTATATGTTAAATGTGAAAATTGACAGTTTAAAATATATCAAATGCTGAAGTTGTTAAATTTCAATTAACTAGAATTAGTAAAAATCCACTTTCTAGCACAAGAGAGCTGGATATTATTTTAACGTTTATAACAAATATATATTGTGGGAACTTTTCTACAATGTTTCTTAAGGTGTCGTGTTATGAATATGCCCCAACTTCCATATGGACACATTTTTCTCTAGCGTATTCCTGATTTTATGCACCCATGCAGCTCCTGTTTCTCGTTTTCCATTTTCTATTCTTAACATCCCACTCATCTCTGGCATTTATTGCCTCACATCCTACCAACACCATTAAAACAGTTACGCTCTTCATTTCTGCTACTGGAGACAGGCCTTCTCACTTCTTTCTTCCTTGCTGCTCCCCAGTTGAATGGTAGACACATGGAATATTCCCTTTGCCTCTTAGACACCACATGCAGGTCAAGTTGCACATTATTGAAATATAAGCTTTATCTGGATGTGCCTTTGCTCTAATCTTATATATAAAATATGGAATCAGTAATCTATCATCTGTTAGGTTACTGCGAAGGATATTTATTTTAAACGGACTGATTAACTGAAAAAAAGTTTAGTATATCTCTTCATTTATGTCTGATGTTCTGCTGTCAATTATGTTTATGCTTTATGATCTTCCTACGAAGATGGCTGGAATTTTGTTTTTTATGGCCATAATCCCATCCACTGACTGCAAAATTCTGTAACTTTAGAAGGGCAGGCCTCTCTCTCTTCATGTATTTCTTTGCTTCTTAGGCAACCATGTTGATATTTTTTCCTCCCGACTCTTTGCCTTTTCCAGTTTGCTGCAGCACTTGAATACAAAAGTGGTAAAATAAAAAGTTGGGAATTCTGTAAAAAAAAATTGTGTTAATTTAAAGTTGGGAATGGGTGGTGGCATATTGTATTGATATTTCAGAGCATTGTCCTTGCTTGGCTTCCACAAAAGTACATATCCACATTCTAACCATCATTTCTGCAGGCTTGCCCTTATCTCTTTGTTGGTACTGTAAAACAGGCATGATTCAGTTTTTGATTTAGTTCCTGCTCTTTGCAGATTAAATATACTGGCTTCAGGGATAGACCGCATGAAGAAAGACAGGCCAGGTTTCAGAATGCATGCCGGGATGGACGATCTGAGATAGTAAGTTTATGCATTTATATTTTTATTTAAGGTACTTGTGTCTTCAATTTGAACTGCTTGGTGACTCAGGATAAACTGCACATTTTTTAGGAATCTAGCCCATTTCTTATGCTAGTTCTGAGCTGTCAGCATTGTTCTTTCTCTCTCTCTCTCTCTATGCCTTTCATCTTTTGCTTGCTGCACCTCATGAGGGAATTAAGGTACAGATTAGATAAACTAAACCTTATTTAAAATAATATAGAATGTGAACTAATTAACTCCAAATTTATAATTTAAACTGCATACTACGCAGTACCAAGTTAATCAACATGATACCTCTTCTTAAGAGTTTTTTTTAATAATACCAGTAGTTGTTACATATAAAACAGAAAAATATCCTTCAATTTTCCTTCCAGTTCACATAAACTAGAAAAACACTGACTATTTGCATTTTTTTTCTTCTGTGTTATTCATTTATTTCAGCAAGGCATGGTGTTACTGTTTATCTGTTTACTCATACTTTACTCTAGGCATTTGAGGTGGTTTAGAAAAGCATGTGCTTAATTGGCACTTTTTAACAATTTAAAAAAAACTTGAATCTCTGTCTAGATTCAATTACAATGGAGTAAAAATTGTAGAAGTCTAAACTAAGTAAAAGTTCATATGCTATCAAAAATGCTGAAAACTTTTTAGGAGGAAAACCCCTCATCATTAACTATTGCTAAGGAGGAAAGACTGAAAGGGGGCTTTCAAAGAGATAAATTCAAACTTGGTTACAGGAAAAGAGATTCCTCAAGGCTCAGGACTATTGGATGCTAAAAGGTACATTGTTCAGCCATGTAATTGGACATAATGTTGATTCTTTGAAAGAACTGCATGGAATTCATTGCTTGATTTTAGCTTCTGCTTCTTAATTGTGATCTATTTTATTATATAGTAACATGATGTGTAATATTTAGTTATGTGGATTTTTTGTATCCATTGTGATCTTCAGGTGTACTTTTAAAACAGCAAAGAGGATAATCGTATATTTTATGTTGAAGGCTGACATAGATGCTTGTAAGTGAAACTCTTGAACATCCTGACAGCATATACCTTAATGAAAGTTTTTATCTTTCACAGATCATAATTAAACTAACTTTTGCTGAATTGTTATTCAGTAAATAGCATGGGACTTGTTCAGTTTAATGATATTTTTCCCATTGCAGATTGGCCTCCTCGTAAGGTCTGTCTTACATAGCAATAAGCTATATAAGCTTATATAGCAATTATGTTCAACTATTAAGGCAAACAATATACCTAGAATTTTATGATAGTGTAAAAATTAGTCCTATCTATCAGAATAAAATCTGTTTAATCACACACATTGTATCATATGAAGTACCTAAGAAGATTGTTCATTGGCTGTTGTCAAGAAAGTTTTATGATACACTGTTTGAATTCTTTTAACTGAACTGAGTTTGAATGCGGATAGTTTTTCAAACCATATTAGCACAAAAAGACAAGTTCCCAACAACTAGTTTACTATTTTTGTTACTAATGAAAATGACTGATTGGTTCCTGTGTAAATGCTATCTTTCCCAGCAGTCACATTCTCAAATTTTAAGTCTCTTAAACAACTGTTTTGATAAGATAATCTGGAAGAATGCCATCTGTCTGAATGGTTGTTGAATATTTTAATTTATGTTATGGACAAATCTCAAGACCACATGTGGTTACTTATATTCATTTAGCAGCTCATTTGTGTGTTTTTAATGCAAAATTGGTAATAAAGATAGTTTGTTTACTATAAACCTTGTGTCTAAAAAATTAACATCAACGAATACGCTGATAACCTTTGTAGGTTGCAAGAAAGTAACATTTGAGTCTCACTTCACAACCTACACTGCAGACAAATCTAAATATATTATTTCTGAGGCATTATTTCACTCGTGGCCTTCCTCCATTTTTAACAGAGATCATAAGGAGATTCATCTTTATTCCACATGTCTTGCAAATGTAGTCTTCTGAACACAGTGGGATTCTCTAAACTGTATTTTGATTCTGTCGTTATGTACCTGTAACAAAAGGATGTGGTATAAATTCAGCCCTAAGTAGGAAATTCCAGTTCCAGGGGGAACTTCCCATTTCAGACTTTATCAGCCTAAACCATGAGGCTTGCACTGTCTGTGACCCTTTTTCTTCTCACCCACCCAAAACCTTTCTGTACCATATTACATAATGCCAAAAGTTCAGCTTTGAAACTTTAAGCTAGCTTTGGACATTATCATTTAATTACCATACAGTTTAAAGCATGGAAGAATTAGACGTAGTTTACAAGCTCTAGGAAATACGTTATACGCCCCCCCCAGGCTCTTTTTTTGCAATACCTGGAGCTCCTGTCATTTCCTACTGTAATTTGGAAAGAGATGTATGAAAACTGCAATGTATTTCCTTAAAATAGAATTACCATCATGTTTTTAAAAAGGTTCCTCGCAAAACTTTCTACGTTCATGAAAATGACCATTTATTTCATGCCCACTGTTTGCTGTTCATTTATTTATTTCCTACCCACTGTTGTCCTGAATCTCCCCCATAAGTCTCCCCATCCCAGTTACTTGTAGCCCCTGGCCATCAAAGTGGTGCCTTTTCCTCATGCAAGACCTTTAGTTAAATCCCCCATCAGTGCTATATTCACCTGAGCATAGACATACTTCTGCAGTGCACGGCTTGACTATATTGTCCTTTGCTACAGTTAACACAAACTGAATTATTTCTGGCCCCTGGTCCTACATTTCCAGAAATTCAAAAATGAAAAATACAATTCAGATTGGAAACAAATCTTAAAAAAAAAAAAAAACGCAAAGAGGAGGAGATCTGACTCAATTCAAATGATGTAAAGTTTTCTCTAGCTTTCTGTTTTCTGCATGTGCGATATATTTTGTGCATTTTGAAAAAAAAAACATGAATGGGATTTCTTCTTTTTCTTCTCATCTATGATATTAATACCCAAAGTACCCCTTAAGGAAGTATTGTATCTCAAGGGAGGTGACTGATCTGTTGCCTTATTTCCTGGAATCACGTTGATTTAATACAGATACACAATCACCTGACTTTGCTGTTAGAAGAGTTATTCTGGCAATTGGTTTGCTTCCTTACAAAGTCTGTTTTATTCTTGAATGGATTCCTAAAGCATCATTATACACATTTTGAGACTCTTTGTGTTTGCTTGGTTTCCTTTGGCACACAGTTTGCTTTGATCCAAGCTTTCAGTTTTTTGAAGAGATGCACACAGTTGAATTTACATACACATATACAAATTCTTGACTTCAGTAGAAAGGGGTTGGTTAATATTTCTGCAGCATATTTGAAGTCAGGTTTGAATGAAAATGTTACTTTCAATATCTGCATTCATTTTCCTTCCTGCTGTTCCTCTAGTCTAGTCAGTCAGCTTGTGCAATATACACACTGGTCTTGTGTTCCTCTATTTGTGTGAGTGATGGAAAGCATTTGAAATTGACAAAGTTTCAGTAAAGACCGCTCAGCCTTCTGCTTGCTGTACTATACGAAGCTTCCCACATGATTCTAAGTAGTAAAGCAAAGGTAAATGTAACTAAAACTGAAAGCGCTTTTTTTATAAAATTACCAGGAGCCGGAAAATGTACCTTAAAAACTCACGCAGGAGTTTCAGACGGTACTTTGAATTGTAATGTCTTCCAAGAACAATTTATAATAAAAAATATTGATTCCATATAAGTATCTTTATTTTTTTCCAGCAACCTATAGCAAATATTGTCAAAATGAAATCAGACGTTTGTAACTTAGTACTTAAGAAAAATGATGAGTCCAATGTTTTGGACTTTCGAGTATCCTCTATGCAGTTCAGCTTTAAGACATAAACTGATGTAAAAATAAATGAGTGCTTGCATAATTTATGTAATGTCTTACGCCCTGATCCTGTTTGTATTGATTTTTCTAAAAGGCTTTTGTGGCCACAGGAACCAATCTGTCTCTCCAGTTTTTTCCGGCCAGCTGGCAGGGGGAGCAGCGGCAAACACCAACCCGAGAATATGTTGACTTTGAAAGAGAGGGAGGCAAGGTAAGGACAAAAGGGATAGATGGCAGATCTGATCTAGATCTGTCTTCTAGAGGTTTTAAAACAAACTTTAAAGCATTACATGGAATGAATGTGCTACTGTCATACACATATCCATTTTTATGGAGATTACCGTAATTGCCTGAAACTCTGCTATTTCCAGAAAATTGTTTCGTGCTGTCTGCAAAATATTCTGAAGCTCCAAATTGCTGTTTCAGTAACAGGACTATAGATAAATTTCTGCCTGTTTATAAAGAATATTTTTCTGCTTGTTAGAAGTGTGTTATCTCCGGTGGCCTTTAGATATTTTTTTTTTCATTATTGAACCTTATTTAAAATTTGTATACACAATATTATCCTTAAGAGCTGCTATGTTTTCCTCTATAACCCTGTGTAATACTCCTTTTGCTGAATGGTGAAATACACATGGTATATACAAAGATTTTGGTTGGATGTCAACAGATCGCAGTGATGTGTTAGGGTATGGAGATATTAACAGCATTGGGTGTTGGAAAAGAAAGAAGAGAAAATTGTGTTGCATTTCCATGAAATAATATCTGTTTTAAAGAAAAGGGAAGATTTTGCTTCATGAAATGTAATGTACATTCTGACAGCATTCAGAACAGTCAGGTTCCAATTCAGCATTCAAATGATTTCAATTGATAGTCAACTTAACATATGGCAGTTCATCTACATAGATATAGGAAATCCTTGTAGAAAAAGGTACATATTAGAAAACACAGATAATATTTGTTTTTCTTTCAAAAGTAGTCAGTGAAAATAATCTCACCCTGAATGTGAAATTCCACGTGTATTTTTAGAATCCCCAAATTGCATTGGTCTACATTTGCCTAACATTATTATATTTTGCCTATTGAAATTCACAAAATCTGCACAGGATGTATTTGAAATCTACTTTCAACCTAGTATAAGAACAAAATAAATTATGCTCTTCATTATTGAGTAATGTAAAATGTAAAAGATAAATTTGCTTATAATGCTCCAGACATGGGCGCTTCTTTAATACCTGTATATTGCTCTATTTCACTAATCCTTTTTAAAAAAAACCAGAAGAAAAATGTTATAGTAACCTGATTTTTTTTTCTATACATAGACCTCTAAAAGGAATTATATAGCAACAAAAAGAGCTATTTTCTTATGCATAGTGTTCCATCATTTAACATTTCAGCCTGTTCCTTGTATTCTGAAAATGATCCGTTCTTATAAATGCACTTGAATGATTGGAACAGGTCAGAATGTTTTGCACACCCTTCCAGTTTAAAAAAGGTGTTCCTTTTTCCTCAAGCTTCTCATTTTAACTTCACCTCTAAACAAGTATAATTATTGGTCACAAAAAAAATCTTAAGTGGGGGAGGCGCATCCAGCGACATATTTCTCATGATGTTTAATTTGTTGCAAACACACATAATTAAGTTTGCTGGTTTTTCTATGCAATCCTTTGCAGCGCACCCAAATCCCATGGAGCCTTGTGTTGCTATTTTCATGCCGTTTTCCATAATTGGGGTCTGTCACGGTCAGGGAACCAAAATACTATAGTGCAGTGTTTCTCAACCTTGACAATTTTAAGGCATGTGGACTTCAACTCCCAGAATTCCACAGCCAGCAACGCTGGCTGTGGAATTCTGGGAGTTGAAGTCCACATGCCTTAAAATTGTCAAGGTTGAGAAACACTGCTATAGTGGCAAGTAGAAATTGATCATCACTTCTACTTTCGCTTTTCGCTGGTATATTCAATTTGGATTGAATTTTTACATGGAAAACCACCCCTTCATTTTTTTTTAGCCCCAAATTCGGCTTTGGTTGCTGGCAAAGCACAACTAACAGGCTTTGGTTTGGTGGTGGATTGCATTTTTAGGATTCTGGAGCCAAACTGCATATTATGGATTGTATTTCTGAGAAACCCTTGTGTATTTGTGTAAGTAACTACCGATTTTTGTGATCGTAGTTAATATTTTTAAGAACGTTTTGTTGAATCAAAGTTTTCTTTAAAGAACCAGTCTTCTTAAGAGTACCACTTTTGAAATAAACGTTTAAATTGGCCATGTTAAAATTTGGAGATACATCACTTGTAAACCTACTGTAATTGAACTTACTTTGCAATTGTTCTTTTTCATTTTCAGTGTATTGATTTAATTTGTTGTGGGGTTTTTTTTTTACTTTGTTTTAATCTTAGTAGAAGAGAATAAACTACAAAGAAGCTCTGATTACTATTACTTTTCTTCCACGGTTTGACAAAGTACTGTAATGAAATATTAAGCTATATTATTCCTAATAAATATATTGGGACAATCGTAGTGCCACATAGCTTAATGAATGGAATTGTTCATTTTAACAAAAGTGGTACATTAAAGCACTTTGTGCTGGAGTAGTTAATTTTGTCCTATATGTAGAATTTATGTATATAAATTTGAAATGTTCACCTGTCTGCTTCAGAAAAGAATCCCTTCTTAATTAAAACAATTAGCTTGCAATTGTAGATGCACAATTGTTATATTCTAAGTATTTTATCATAAAACAATGTAGGAAACACTTCAATGTGTGTCTGTACTGGAACTTTCAATCCAGCAGTTCCTCATCCACTTTTGGTGAAAACATTTGCGGTGGCTGAACTATTGCATTAGATATGTTAAGTGGCGAAACTTCTAAATGTTTAGATGGTGTGAATTGAAGTAGATTCATTAAATTTTTTCTGTTGATAAGTACAGTATATGAAACTTGCTGCTGGGGCTGCTACAAGGTACCTAAAATAAATACATGCACATGAGATAAAGAATTATTTTTCTTCTGACTCATCGTGGCCTGAAGCTTCACGTTGTGTGATATGATCCTGCCATAGTTTCACTAAGTGTTCAGGTACCAAAGATAACATCAAGGCTAACTTATCGGCTTCCTGTGGCAGGTTGTCTGTACTAAAAGGGAAACAGCTGGTGAGAGTAAGGTGACTAGGGCAGCAACGGCCTTCAAACATCAATACTTCCTTTTGCTTTTTACAGTTTCTCCTGTCAAATTGCCGTCTTGTACATAGCTGCTTGTTACACTTGGGAGAAGTAACAGCTCTGAGAATTAAGAGCTATTCTATTGGATAAAAAGCCTGTAAGAAGGACCTGTTATAAATATTCATTTCCTGGGGCTATGCTGTTTATATCAGGGTTCTCCAGCCTCGGCTGAGGAATTCTGGGAGTTGAAGTCCACAAGTCGTAAAATTGCCAAGATTGGAGAACCCTGGTTGATATGATCTTTGGTAATACCGGTACTCCTCAACTAATGATTTGTTACTTAGCAACTGTTCAGAGTTACAACCGACCTGAAAAAGGGGGACTTACAACCCAGATTCAAAATTGTGATGGTGGGGCCCCCTCTGCAGGCATGTGGTCCATTTACAGTCCTTTGTGGCATCCCGTGTTCACATGACGGCATTTTATGATGGTTTTGCTCAAAACCGGCACTTCTGATTTTCAGCAAAACTGCACCCATAGCAAACTATTGACTTAATTACCGTGGTGTTTGTTTAATATCCACTGCCAAAAAAGATTGTAGAATCGGTTTTACAACTCTTACAACATACACGGTAGCGAACCCTTTCCATTATATTGTCACATTGTCATTCCGTTATGGCAGGATCCATATTATACAAAGTCAAGCTTCAGGCCATGATGAGTCAGAAGAAAAATAATTGTTTATCTCGTGTTCATGTATTTATTTTGCGTAGCTTGTTGAGGACATATAGCACCATGGCAAGTAGGTGCGGCCTCGATGACAAGCAGTGGCTGCAAGTGAGTTGTAGTCCCCAACATATGACCATAATTAAACCCCACATTTCCGTTGCTAAGCAAGATAGTTAAGTGAGTTTGGCCCCATTTTATGACCTTTCTTGCCACCGTTGCTAAGTAAGTCACAGCAGTTGTTAAGACAGTAACACAGTTGTGAAATGAATCCGGCTTCCCCACGGACCTTGCTTGTCAGAAGGTTGCAAATGGTGATCACGCGAACCTGGGATGCTGCAGCTGTCATAAGTATGAGCCAGTTGACACGTGGCCAGATTTTGATCCTGTAGCCACGATCCTGGGGCTGCTGCAACGGTTGTAAGTGTGAAAAATGGTCTTTTTCCGTTGCTGTTGCAACTTTGGACACTCGCTAAACGAATGGTTTTAAGTCAAGAACTACCCAATTTGGAAAGGAGGAATGGCCGTAAGCCGTGGTAAACCTCTCTGGAAAGTAGAGACTATTGTGTGTGGAGTGAGGCTTCTGTGGCTTACCCATGGGAGGAGTGGTGCATTGGACCAGGTTAGCACACTTGAAATGCTGGCAAGGGACACTTGATTCACCTGTCTTTTTGGAGAGTGGAGAGTGGGAGCAAGGTGAGACTGGGCAGCGAGTCAAATCCTGGGATGAGTCCTACAAGTAGGATCAATCCTGACCCTCCTTGATAACTCAGCAACTTTTCACTACCAGTGATCGTGAAATTCAGGACTACTTCTAAGAGTTGTTCAAGCACTGTGTCATCATGTTTTCCTTCCATCAGTTCCAGCCAGGATTGAGGTGTGGAGAGAGGGAGCCGAAAACCCCTTGGTCTTGACCCAAGGATAGCCGTCTGTCTAAAACTCTCCCGACATCTTAAAAGATCTGAGTTTTATCTAGCTTCTGTTCTGTTTCGGCCGTATGTGGGGAATCCAGATAAATAAACAAAAGAGTTTGGCAAGTTTACGGCTACATATGTTTGCATCCAAATGCGCGCGCTGGGATGAAGTATTTTGTGATTAGGCTTCCGTGTGCCTCAGATTGGAATAAGTGCTTCAGACTGTGTAGGGGCCCAGATGTAGGACCTATATGTGACTCATTGAAGCAACTGCACCGTTTCCATGAGGGGGCGGCTGCCGTGAAAGCCTCCCAGCAGCAACTCTGCAAATCTGGAAACAGATGTGGCTGCTGCAATGAATCAGAGACAGGTGCTGCTTTTATTCTCTCCACATTCTGAAGCCCCT